TTCCCACCTTCCTTCCTTCGCTTCCAGGCCAAATAAGGGTAACACTGACTTCTCCTTAGCAGCTACGCCTGCAAATACATTTCAATTATTCAATTCGGCCACATGACAGAGGTGTCTATGGACAACGTCGGCTCTTTGGCTTAGAAATGGAGATGAGCACCCCACCCCAGAGTTGGACCCGACTGGACTTAATGTCAGGGGAAAACCTTTACCTTTTACCTATGCTACATATTCCAGCGCATTATTATTATTATTATTATTATTATTATTATTATTATTATTATCATCATCATTATCATCATTATCATCATCATCATCATCATCATCATCATCATCATCATCATCACTGTAATAGTTAAAGACTGTCATGTGCTCTGGGAATACTAAGAGCCACACTATTTCCAGCCAGTGTTCATTCTTTCTTCTTTTCTATTGTGGATGTAATCAATCAAAGATCAAACCCATTCACTACTATTCCTGTTGCTTCTTGTTTGTTGTTCATGTGCATCTCACGGATTGCACTTTGGGATGGTTCAAATTGGGTCATTTGACACTTTGGAATAAATAAATAAATAAATTAATACATCTTTTATTATTTATATCCCACTTTTCTCCCACGAAGGGACTCAAAGCGTCTAAGATGGAATGCCCCAGATTGGGTCTTTTGTCATCCATACAAATCTATTCAGATATACTTTGAACTTCAACTTTGATATCTTTTTCTTTTCTTTTTAAAGTCTTATTTTGGGAGATTAAGGTACAACTTGGAATTCTAAGAAAACATTTCCCATTGTAGCAATCTCTGCTCTCTGAAGGGTTGGAAGCCAACAAGGTGTTCTCAAGTGCCTATGAGGCCCTCTTGCGTGGAAAGGTAGCTACAGTCTGAAGATGTAGGTGTCAGGAACCGGTTTCCTGGCCTTGAGTCCAGGCCTTGAGTCTGTGTCGTTATTGGGAGCGACTGCTGTGAGCTTACATGTAGGCACATGTTACATATACAAATATTGCTAATAAAGTATTGGAATGCTGTGATAACTTGGTAATAATTTCTGTTTCCAAGAATAAAAGCATGTAAAGAATATTCACAATTCTCTTTTTGCTTCCCCAAAGGATGAATGTTGACAAAATTTCCCAGAATTTCAGCATAGCTGATAAACCTTCCTCACTCTAGTAAGTAAATGGTAAAATAGCCAGACTTTAATTTTTTTTCTTATTTGGTACAAGTTAGCAGGAAAATAACACTATGTAAGGAAATTTGAACAATTTTCTGTTCCTGCCTTGAAAGTGTTACTTCCTGTTTATTTGTGTGAGACTTGCTTTAAAAGTAATTGTTCTACTCCAAAAACTTTATTTTTTTGTCTGCCACAAACTATGTTGAATTGGTTGAGACTCTATGAGATATTTATTGAAAAACTATACCAAAATGTGCAGCAGGGTGTGCCGCATAAACAAAGTTTTTGCAGTTTTAAAAAGTTTTTCCATGTTTTTATGATATAATTAATTAGAAAATGACATTTATAATCCAGGACAAATTGTTACATGGGGTAATCAGCCAGAACCTAGTGTCTTCTTTGGATAGGACTCCTACTTAACTAGAACAGTTTAAACAGCAACATCTACTCTTAACTCGTTGTTCATTTCTAAGTAAAATGAAAGCTAAAGCTAAAAGATATTATTATAACTATCTGGAAAGACTTTGGTAAAGCTCAAAATATTTTAAAACCTTAACCTGTGTAGTCAGAAGTAAACACCAATGTGTTCAATAAAGGTTACTGTCAGGTATGTATATACAGAATTGCAATCATAAGATTTCTTAGAATTTGGGTGTCTTGCTATATACGTACCAGAGCTTTCTGATGTGTGTGTGTGTGTGTGTGCATGTACGTGCGTGTGCGCGCACACACACTGTCAGGATGATCTCCCACAAGTGACCACTACTCACAGCTGATTTGTGGCTAATATATCTATCAAATGAATATGAAATCATGAAACACCTGAATTCATGGATGATCCTTGTAGATCTATTTGTGTTCCAATATCTCACTTGACAAAATTGCACACTTCCATTTACTATTTCTGAATTTATTTCCCTGTAGAAATAATATTTAAAGGTTTTGTTTTAAAAAGGAATCAAAACTACAGCATTTCATTTCAGATTGAAACAAAGGCAACTATTTCCTAGTTGTTCAATTTTGTATTGCATTGTTAATGCAAGTTCTTGTCCTCCCATATTTTAACCAACTTACCCCTTACCACATTCTGTTTGCTGTTTTATTAGCAGCATTCTTCTCTTTGGTAATATTATTTTTCTCCTGACAATGTAGGTTTGCCTGCCACGTCGCCTTCCTAGCAGAGCAGAAGTTTGTCCTTTACATTACACATTTCAGTGTGTACACTTTTTAAAAAAATGACTAATGCCATGTAGCTGAACCCTGCCAACAATGTAAAACAATGACTCGTGACTAATGTGGACTCATATTGAGGGAAGAAAAACACTGTGTGGCCTTCAATATCTCTGCTAGATGAGCATGAACTGAATTCAAATGTAAATCACATGAGATTTCATAAATATCACTTTTAATTGCTGTTCATTTTTCCTTGTTAAAATTGCTTAATTAATAGTCTTCAATGCACTAAAGATCTAAAGTGAGTTAAAATCAATGCTACTTCTGTCTTTTTTGGTTTAAAAAGTTAAACTTTAGAAAAAAATATGAATTTACAGCTGCAAACAGAATGCTGTTCTTCTGCAGGTTTCCTATAAAATCTGAAGCTATAGCCCTAAACAGGCCCGTAGCCAAGATTTTGATTCGGGGGGGGGGGGGGCTGAGTTTGATTCGGGGGGGGCTGAGTTTGAGTGAAAGAGGGTCTACCCTAGCAGACCTTTTGTATTGTTACCCCAATACCACCCATACATATGGGATATATTGAGCATGGTGATCAGATCATGATATGAATAAACATAACAGTTTAAATAATGTACCAGTAAGGCCTTTTCGCAGACCACCATGAGAATTTGGGGGGGGGGAGGCCCCCCACTCTTTTTTCTTTTTCTTTTTTTCCCTTCTATATTCTTCCGCTTTTTCTCTACCTCCACTGCCACTTTTTCCTGCCTATCCTTCCTCTATTTTCTAACAGCCCCCCAAGGCCCCCAAGGCCCCCCTCCCCCCCCCAGCTACACGCCTGGCCCTAAAGTGTTCTCTTCAACTCGTTTGCCAGTTTCATAAAATGCATGCAAAAGCAAGAACAGTCTTAAGGTAATTTTTATTCAAAACTCAGAAGCTTAAATTCATTATTAGGTACTACATCACAATACTTCTGCTGGCAAAGAAGACTAATGTACACATGTTTCAGTGACATATGCATAATTTGCTGACTAATCGATTAAATAATGACACAACAAATCTTGGATTGAAATATGGATCACTTTATTTAAACTTGTACCTACGTAGCAAGAGGTTTTATATACATCTATGGCAAGGGTTATGTGTTTTCTTTTGTGTTTTTATTAAGTGCATTGTTCTCTGCAAGGGTTAATCATAATATAATATATATAACACATGGAACACCTGGCTTTCAACTGGCTAGGAGTCTTTTGGGTCATCTAAAGGTGAATGTTGCTTATCACAGTCGAATGCTACACCTGGTCAATTAATTATATGTACACTGAGATCTGCTTCTGTGCTAGCAGAAAGCTATTTGGAGTCCAAAGAACAATCACAGCATGATTTCTGCCGTTATTTAGTGAATATTTTACTTTTGACTCATGCAGGTTTTGTTTTTGAAAAAAAAGTTAATCTCATTATACATTTTTTACAATTAATGTAATGATTTAAAATTGATAAAATAATGTATGCAGAATTTGCAAGGCAACTGTATATGGATAACAAACATGTGAACACTAAGACATGCCTTCTTTTGTTGAGAATGGAAAGGGAAGAAAAACAAGATAAAATATGCAATAAATGGACTAAGAATTTTTATTATGTCATACAGATGGACCAGGAGAAAAACCTTTAATCTAAGGCACATGTGTCAAACTCAAGGCCCATAGGCTGAATTTGGCCTGTTATGACATTTTATATGACCCTTCAGATGATGAACTACAAGCCCTGTATTGCTCATTATTAGACATGATGACTTGAATTGATGGGAGTTTAGTCAGGATAGTGGGGACTGAATTTAGATATAATGCTTAGGATATGTCTGACTTTAAAATGTCCTTCAACCTTTCCCTTTATCTCCAATTACATGGCAGATGATCAAACGTGATGATAATTTATTCAATGACATATGGGGATTCAAATTGGGTAAAAATTAAAGGGCACTGACCACCATGTAATAGATAGATAGATAGATAGATAGATAGATAGATAGATAGATAGATAGATAGATAGATAGAAAGAAAGAAAGAAAGATAGATAGATAGATAGATAGATAGATAGATAGATGATAGATAGAGATAGAGATAGAGATGATATAGATATAGATATAGATAGCTGGCCCTCTGTAGCCATGGATTCAACAACCCTTTGAAGGCAACCATAAGGCTGATATGGTTGAAAATGAGTTTGACACACCTGGCCTGAGGGAATGAAACTTACATATTGGTTATGACCTCAAGGTTATTTTTTTTTAAGTGTCCAGAATAGACATTTTTAATGCATGCTGGAAATGTGAACAAAAAGAATGTAATATGTAATAAACATTTGAAAAGAAAAACAAAAAACAAAAAACAAAAACCCTGGGATACAGATATATTGGTCTTGTTGATTTTAAAACATTATATTAAATTAAAATCAGAATTTAGTCCTTTGGTATTGATGAATGAAAACGTAGAGAAGACCTATGCAGCAACAAGACTGTTACACAAAAAGATGGAAGAATGTCATATTACATGCAAAGATCGTAGAATGTAAAATCTAAAATTATTTGCTACATAAAAGTGGCTGGTGACACAGATGGATTTAGAAGAAATTAACAGATTGCCTTGTTTTCTTAGAAACAGATCACCAGTGAAATTTCTGAAAGACTGGACACCAGTTATGGACATTTTGTGGGGGAAAAGTAAGTGACTAGGTAAGTTTTGAATTTAATTATGAGAAAGAATTCATTTTGAATAAAAGGGGAAGATGTATGAATATTAGGGAGTGAAGAATGAATAATTATGTAATATGTGTAACTGCTGAAAAGAGGTGAAAAACATCATGTTCTTTTCTAATTTTTACACTTAAAGTATGAGAAAAAACTAAAAGGAAGTTTGGGTTTTTTTCTTTATATTTTTCTGATATTTTTTAATTGCGGTTTTTGGGGTTTTCTTAAAGAAAGGGCTTTCAAATTAGTTCTTTCACACACTATCTAATTTACAAAAAAAATACATATGATTTTTATTGCAAAGATATGAGGAAGTGTACAATTTATAAGGCTTTATTATGTTTATTCACCCTCATCGCCATGGATATCTGACCAACAACAAGAGATAATTGGCTAATTTTAAATATATAAATATTCCACTAAATTTAATGTGGCATTCTTTTTAAATTTACCACTGCATTTCACTGTGTTTTATGATAAGTTACTGCTGATGTGTTTTTACATTTTGGAAGACAATTTTTGTAATTTTTAAAGAAGAAAAAAAAACAAGGTAACATTCTTTCACCTCCTCTTCATTGCTTAATGATAACACTATGTAACATCCTGATTTGAAAGTGTTATTCCTGTTTAACTGTGCAATACTTACTGGCATTGAATTGTTGCCATAGCTTATAAGTCACCCTGAGTCCTCCCTTTGGACGTGAGAAGGAAGGAGTATAGGTACAGTAAATAAATAATACTTTGAAAGTACTTGTTATACTCCAGAAACTTCATTTTTGTGGCTGCCGCAAACTATGTTGAATTGGTTGTCACTCTCTGGGAAGTTCATTGAAAAACTATAGCAAAATGTGCCGCAGGAAGTCCCACAAAAACAAAGTTTTTGCACTTTAGTAAACTTTACCCTCCAGGAAATAAAGCCTGACTGCTCACTGGAGGGAAAGATACTAGAGACAAAGTTGAAGTACTTTGGCCACATCATGAGGAGACAGGAAAGCCTAGAGAAGACAATTATGCTGGGGAAAGTGGAAGGCAAAAGGAAGAGGGGCCGACCAAGGGCAAGATGGATGGATGGCATCCTTGAAGTGACTGGACTGACCTTGAAGGAGCTGGGGGTGGTAACGGCCGGCAGGGAGCTCTGGCGTGGGCTGGTCCATGAGGTCACGAAGAGTCGGAGACGACTGAACGAATGAACAACAACAAAGCTTTACCCATGTTTTTATGATAGAACCAATTAGGAAATGACATTTATAACCTAGGAACAAAAATTGTATTACATAGTGTAATCAACATCAGTAACAATGTTTGTTTTTTTAAAAAAAAGCAATCATAATATTCAGTCAAAAATTCTCTCAGGAAGGATAACTAATAAGACAAATCCTTCCTTCAGGTTTGCAACCAGTCTTACAGTTTCAAAGACACAACACAAGGAATGATCTAAGAGACAGAATACAAAGTTGTTAACTTTTTATGAGCAACATCACTTCATCACTTACTTTCCTGGGCGGTTTTGTTCGTTAATTTTGTAATTCGTTAAATATTCGTTATTTTTAGCAATAACGAAACGATTACAAAACACATTTTCAAACCCGGAAGGGTTTAAAAATAACGAACCGGCAACCCCCATAGTTTTAACGAGCTTCCGCCCGTTTCGTAAATGGGATGGAGGCTGCTGGTGCCCTGGGAGCCAATCCGGCGCTCCCAAGCACCCAAGCAGTGCACCGTGGCTGTTTCTGATTGGCCGGCAAGCCCTTTAAAAGCGGCTCCGCGCGGCCGTAGAGCTCATTTGTTGCGGAGGCGAGGGAGAAGAGAGGAGGTCCGGGAGGGTGGCTTCAGGCTAGCATTGGGTTGGCTTGCAACTAAGCTTGGATTGGATTCATTCCTTGCTGCTTAATTCCTTGCTTGGATTCATTCCTTGTTGCTTAATTCCTTGCTTGGATTCATTCCTTCATTCCTTCCTTCGGTTTTTGTCAATTTGTTTGTTAATTTTCCATTTTTAAATATTTTTTAAAAATACCTGTCTTTTATTCTTAAAAAAAACCAAAAAATATTCTTAAAAAAGAAAAGACTCTTCTGTTGCTGTGTGCTCTCATTTGCCCTGTCTCGTGGCTGTGTTTGATTCATATCAGGGCCAGTTTTTGGTTAATTTTGCATTTTTGAATATTTTTTAAAAATACCTGTCTTTTATTCTTAAAAAAAACAAAAAATATTCTAAAAAAAGAAAAGACTCTTCTGTTGCTGTGTGCTCTCATTTGCCCTGTCTCGTGGCTGTGTTTGGTCCACATCAGGGCCAGTTTTTGGTTAATTTTCCATTTCTGAATATTTTTAAAAAATACCTGTCTTTTATTCTTAAAAAAATACAAAAAATATTCTAAAAAAAAAAGACTCTTCTGTTGCTGTGTGCTCTCGTTTGCCCTGTCTCGTGGCTGTGTTTGCTTCACATCAGGGCCAGTTTTTGGTTAATTTTCCATTTTTGAATATTTTTTAAAAATACCTGTCTTTTATTCTTAAAAAAAACCCAAAATATTCTAAAAAAAGAAAAGACTCTTCTGTTGCTGTGTGCTCTCGTTTGCCCTGTCTCGTGGCTGTGTTTGCTTCACATCAGGGCCAGTTTTTGGTTAATTTTCCATTTCTGAATATTTTTTAAAAATACCTGTCTTTTATTCTAAAAAAAATCAATAAATATTCTAAAAAAGAAAAGAATCTTGTGTGCCTGCCTGTGTGTGCGTTTCCCCCGTCTTGTGGCTGTTGGCTCCACTGCGGGGAGAGCATTTGGTTAAGTTTCCATTTCTGAATATTTTTGAAAAATACCTTTCTTTTATTCTTAAAAAAAATCAAAAAATATTCTAAAAAAAGAAAAGACTCTTCTGTGGCTGTGTGCTATCATTTGCCCTGTCTCGTGGCTGTGTTTGGTCCACATCAGGGCCAGTTTTTGGTTAATTTTCCATTTTTGAATATTTTTAAAAATACCTGTCTTTTATTCTTTAAAAAAATACAAAAAATATTCTAAAAAAAGAGAAGACTCTTCTGTTGGTGTTTGCTCTCGACTGCCCTGTCTCGTGGCTGTGTTTGGTCCACATCAGGGCCAGTTTTTGGTTAAGTTTCCATTTTTGAATATTTTCTAAAAATACCTGTCTTTTATTCTTAAAAAAATACAAAAAATATTCTAAAAAAAGAAAAGACTCTTCTGTTGCTGTGTGCTCTTGTTTGCCCTGTCTCGTGGCTGTGTTTGCTTCACATCAGGGCCAGTTTTTGGTTAATTTTCCATTTCTGAATATTTTTTAAAAATACCTGTCTTTTATTCTAAAAAAAACCCAAATAAATATTCTAAAAAAAGAAAAGAATCTTGTGTGCCTGCCTGTGTGTGCGTTTCCCCCGTCTTGTGGCTGTTGGCTCCACTGCGGGGAGAGCATTTGGTTAAGTTTCCATTTCTGAATATTTTTTAAAAATACCTGTCTTTTATTCTTAAAAAAAACCCAAAATATTCTAAAAAAAGAAAAGACTCTTCTGTTGCTGTGTGCTCTCATTTGCCCTGTCTCGTGGCTGTGTTTGGTCCACATCAGGGCCAGTTTTTGGTTAATTTTCCATTTCTGAATATTTTCTAAAAATACCTGTCTTTTATTCTAAAAAAAAATCAATAAATATTCTAAAAAAGAAAAGAATCTTGTGTGCCTGCCTGTGTGTGCGTTTCCCCCGTCTTGTGGCTGTTGGCTCCACTGCGGGGAGAGCATTTGGTTAAGTTTCCATTTCTGAATATTTTTTAAAAATACCTGTCTTTTATTCTTAAAAAAAAACAAAAATATTCTAAAAAAGAAAAGACTCTTCTGTTGCTGTGTGCTCTCGTTTGCCCTGTCTCGTGGCTGTGTTTGGTCCACATCAGGGCCAGTTTTTGGTTAATTTTCCATTTCTGAATATTTTCTAAAAATACCTGTCTTTTATTCTCAAAAATAATCAATAAATATTCTAAAAAAGAAACGAATCTTGTGTGCCTGCCTGTGTGTGCGTTTCCCCCGTCTTGTGGCTGTTGGCTCCACTGCGGGGAGAGCATTTGGTTAAGTTTCCATTTCTGAATATTTTTTAAAAATACCTGTCTTTTCTCAGTTCTTGTGGGTTTTTTCGTGAATATTTTCTAAAAATACCTGTCTTTTATTCTTAAAAAAAACAAAAAATATTCTAAAAAAGAAAAGACTCTTCTGTTGCTGTGTGCTCTCATTTGCCCTGTCTCGTGGCTGTGTTTGGTCCACATCAGGGCCAGTTTTTGGTTAATTTTCCATTTCTGAATATTTTCTAAAAATACCTGTCTTTTATTCTCAAAAAAACCAAAAAAATATTCTAAAAAAGAAAAGAATCTTGTGTGCCTGCCTGTGTGTGCGTTTCCCCCGTCTTGTGGCTGTTGGCTCCACTGCGGGGAGAGCATTTGGTTAAGTTTCCATTTCTGAATATTTTCTAAAAATACCTGTCTTTTATTCTTAAAAAAAAAATTCTAAAAAAAGAAAAGACTCTTCTGTTGCTGTGTGCTCTCGTTTGCCCTGTCTCGTGGCTGTGTTTGCTTCACATCAGGGCCAGTTTTTGGTTAATTTTCCATTTCTGAATATTTTTTAAAAATACCTGTCTTTTATTCTACAAAAAAAATCAATAAATATTCTAAAAAAGAAAAGAATCTTGTGTGCCTGCCTGTGTGTGCGTTTCCCCCGTCTTGTGGCTGTTGGCTCCACTGCGGGGAGAGCATTTGGTTAAGTTTCCATTTCTGAATATTTTTTAAAAATACCTGTCTTTTATTCTTAAAAAAAAACAAAAAATATTCTAAAAAAAGAAAAGACTCTTCTGTTGCTGTGTGCTCTCGTTTGCCCTGTCTCGTGGCTGTGTTTGGTCCACATCAGGGCCAGTTTTTGGTTAATTTTCCATTTCTGAATATTTTCTAAAAATACCTGTCTTTTATTCTCAAAAATAATCAATAAATATTCTAAAAAAGAAAAGAATCTTGTGTG